TTCACAAATTAATAAGCCTGGTTGATTTTGTTTAACGGCATATCAACATCTCTATGGGTTATTTAAATCCGAAATCTAAATATTTAGAATTGCTTACCTTCAATAACAGATAAAATGTATTGTTGTTCATTGTGTTTTAAAATGTACCGCAAGTAATTTTATCTTAAATATGTATTTTTATACTTCTATATCGTTTTGTTTTTGCTGTGTATTCACTATCTACTTCTAGCTGAGACCCCCGTCAGTGTAGACGTGGGAATTACAACTGTTAAGAGGCGGTTCCACGCGCCTCAAAACCTCCAGTCTCCCATTCACAGGCCTTGCTGCCGGATGTAGTTTATCGTCATACCAAGGACCAGCGAATTAATAAGCTTATTGGAAGTGGTTTGCGCTCCTTTTACGGAAGTACCTTTCGACTGAATGAAAATATCCTTACATATTTTACGGGGTTCGTTGTTGCATGGGACAAAAGCTGATATATGTAAACTTGATATTTTCGAACTTATGATTTTCGATATCGGATCTACTTCGTATTAAAAGATGTTGCGAATTTTTGTCCACTGTTAGCACCTATTTATGTACACTTGCAAATGAGTTATTTTGATATAACGCTGCTTAATAAATTTAAATGCTAAAGGATACTAAGTAAAAATCACCAGATTTATAAGTTTTTTCATTGCGTGATCGTTCATAGACACGTCATTAGGCATATATATATACATATATATATATATATATATATATATATATATATATATATATATATATATATATATATATACAGATAGATAGATGTTAACAGTAAAAACAGATATGTATGCAAATAGATACATAGATAGATGTTAACAGAGTAAAATATATGCTGATAGATAAAGAGATAGATAGAGAGATAGATGTGAACAGAGTAAGAAAGAAAAGGAGACTGACATAGATAGATAAATAGACAGCTAGATCATCTGAGAGACCATTTTCTGCCTTCGATCAGCATAGCCGAGGCTAATCTACAGTAGAGTGACGCGATGCGCCTTCTTGGACTAACATATTCCACTGACATGAAGGGTCAAAGATTTTATTGAATCATTTGCTAGATTTGCAGCTAGGAAAGTTAGTTCCCTGTGTTGTACTTGACATTTCCTCTCCAGAGTCTATCTTAAATATTTATAAGTCTACCATTCGTCCATGTTTTGAATATTTCTACCACATGGTTTGGTGTTGCTGATTTATATTTAGAGATTCTTGACAAATATCCGAAGAAGAATCTGCTATGTTATTAGTCCTAACATGGCTTCTCGGCTTCAGTCACTTTTCCACCGCAGTAATATATCTTCCCTGTGCATCTTCTATAAATACTCTCATGATAATTGTTCTACCGACCTTTTTATGTATGGTTACTAGATAGATAGATAGATAGATAGATTTGAATAGATTAAGATAGATTTTAATAGACTAGCATAGATAGATTCGAACAGACTAGCATAGATCTGAACAGACTAAAATAGATTTAAATAGACAAAGTTTGATAGATTTGAATAGACTAAAAGAGATATATAGGTAGGTATATAGATAGGCGTATCAATGCGCAGACATATATATATATATATATATATATATATATATATATATATATATATATATATATATATATAAGTAGGTAAATATGCGTACTTGCATATCGTCAGACAGAAATACCAAAATATAGATAGATAGCGTGGCGTATATATAGGTAATACATAGGCTGACAGACATCGATTTACAGGTAGGCATAGAAACTATCTCGATAGGCAAACAAATAAGAAGTGGATACATATATGGATATATGCCCAGCTACATAAGAGCGATATGTGGAAGGAGGACACAAATTTCAAATTGTTTCGTTTGACAATTCCCATCATTATAATGTCTTGGCTTCTTCATTTTGCTTCGAGTCGCTATGAAGGCTACTTCATTGTTTTCATTTAAAATCACCCTTTTTATATCTTCTTTCTCGTTCCTTTCTGTTCTTTGTTTTTCATTGTTTCTTGTCTGTGTTGCACTCATAAGGATGAGTTCATTGATAGGCACAATTTGCCGCTTCTACAGAAACAAATGCGTTACCACATTCGCCATCATTTGTCCGAATTGTTTGAGCCTTGCCTCGTTTTGGTAGTGAGAACGAGAACGCGTAATAAAGGTCTAAGCCGATGACGTCAGTTGTTAATCTTATTAGGAAGGCTATTAGACCATTAACTGATTCTGCGTGTTTCTTTATATGTGCAAGATACAGAAAGAGTATTTGAAGCAACTAAATTGACAAAGAAGAGAGAATATAACAATTAAAAGAGACAAAGTGGTAGAGAAAGAAAGCAAAAATAAATAGATATCGAAAATAAAATGATATAGGTTAGTTGTTTGGAATTGGTTTGAAATAAAGATTTTTTTTTTTCACGTAGAAGAATAGAGACGAATCTAAGTTCGTCCCTAAGAATTTAAAAACAAAAAAAAGAAGCTCATTAATAAAAGAGAGAGAAACAGGAACACACACACACGGAATACTGTCGAGAAAACTACAGGGAAAGAAGCTGAGAGAGAACAGTAAAGAGAGAGAGAGAGAGAGAACGTTGAGAGGGTAGGGGAAGTCAGCAATAAAACAGTGAAGAGATAAATAGACACTGAAGGGCAGCGAGAGAGTAATATTTAGAGACTTTTAGAAAAGAGACTGTTAAATTGCAACATGAATTTTAAAACCTTGCTTAACATGAATGGCCAATATATATATATATATATATATATATATATATATATATATATATATATATATATATTATTATTATTATTATTATTATTATTATTATTAATAATAATATTATTATTATTACTAATTAAAGAATATCAAACACTTAAAATAATAATTTTGCTCTGTCTTTTGACATAGAGCTCTCCCTGGATCTATATCCTCCTGAAATTCCATATAGATTACTATATTGTATTATTATATATATATATATATATATATATATATATAGTGTTAGAGGTGGTGGTAAAGATGCTGGTGTTGAGGACAACTATTTCAGAGTCTCAGAGGGCATGATTATGAATTTTGTAATTTTGGGGAAGAGAGATAGATCCCAAACTACATCAGATGCCGGAATTTTGACATAAAATGCCTACACTGTTGGGAGAATTACATTGCTGAAACATAAATACATACATACATATATATATATATATATATATATATATATATATATATATATATATATATATATATACAGGGTGACTGAAAAGTAACCCTCCATTTTAAAATACATTTAATTTATATATTATCTATAAATTTTACAAGAACGGGATATGAGATGAAACCGTTTAGAATGACATTTTATTTAAAAGTCGATAGGGGCACCAGATTTCGCTGCCAGCTTCTCAAGCCGCCAATGAATCGCGTCACTGATTTTACTAGGAATTCTTGTGGTATGGAAGACATAACTTCTTGTATTCGCTCTTCGATTTCTTCCAAAGTCTTGGTTTGGTAGAGTAGACTTTCTACCTTAATGAACCCCAAAGAAAAGGATAAGCAGACGGCGTTAAGACAAGACTTCTGGCTGGCCACTCATACATAAATTAAGGAGATACTTTTTCAATCACCCTATATATATATTCAGGACATATTCATAAAACATAATTAACATTATGAATATCTCCTGTAGATGGTCTATTAGACCGAAACGTCCGCCGTTGACATTAAGCATTAAAACAGCATAATCGCATATTAGGATTTTTGTTTGTTTTTTCAGTATATTTTTCTTCATACTGTCGGATCTATATCCATATATTTTCTTATATATATATATATATATATATATATATATATATATATATATATATCAGCTATACAATTGTTTATAACAAATTCATACAGATAGATACATACATAGATAGATAGATAGATAGATAGATAGATAGATAGATAGATAGATAGATAGCTAGCTAGCTAGCTAGATAGATGTGTGTGTGTGTACAGTATTTTACAATATATAAGCCGAATATAAGTACTATATGATAAATCTTGATATACGTGTTTGTTCTTTATTTTAGCAAGTGGTGTTTTATCTTTTGGACTATATACGAGAATAAATCAATAATTCCGTAGCTTGACGCAATTTTTTGCTAAATTTTTTATCTGAAACTAACCCCCGAAAATATTCAGCGGACTCAGTTTATGAAAGATCATTACGTAGAACGCATTAACTAGGAAGATATTATGTTGAACGAAATTTTAAAAAAATGACCTCTCACCCTCTTCATTTTGATCGGTGATATTGACTGGTGGCTGTAAAATGAAGGTTCAAAGATTTGCCATTTCAAGCAAATGAAATTAAAATGAAAGCGTAACTTAATAAAAGAGAATCATCATTGACAGTATTTAAATTCAGGCCGGTAAATGTTGTTAATACTGTTTATTATGAACAGAGCAATTACTTCAATATTTGTATCTATAAAAATAACGAATAAACAGAAAATATATTAAAATAATTGTCGGACATTTCATAATATATGATGTCATTTGTTTACGTTAAGATACGCTTCGAGCAAATATGAGCGTTCAAGAGAAGTCATAGGAAATTTGTAGCTTAAAAACAGTAATTTAACCTTGCTAACGAGACGCTACCTCTGAAGCTAAATGGTACAGCACGTCAGGCTATATGACGCTTCCGTGTAGGATACAGGTTCGATTCCTGTCGTTTTCTATGAGATTTCTCGGGCATTCAGGCCGGTAAATGTTGTTAATACTGTTTATTCTAAACAGAGCATTTATTTAAATATTTGTATCTATAAAAGGAACAACAGAAAATACATATAAACATAATTGTCCATTTCATAATATATATATATATATATATATATATATATATATATATATATATATATATATATATGAATATACACTGAATAAATATAGATAGATGGATAGGTATTAGATTCATATTCAACGAAACATATTGGAAAGAAAGGTTTTACCCATATATATATATATATATATATATATATATGTGTGTGTGTGTGTGTGTGTGTGTGTGTGTGTGTGTGTGTGTGTGTGTGTGTCTGGATGTGTAGCCAATATATATATAAAATATGTGTGTATGAGTGTGTGTAGGCAACAGATGGCCAGAAAAACATTTCGATATTTAAAGGAACATTGATAACTTTTGATGTTTTAGGAATCGGAGAGCCAAGTTCGAATTCCAGTCTATTACATTCACTTACGTGCTAATACCCTTGGGAAAAGTATGAATCCTCTTCTTCCCCATTCCCTACCCTTGGATGCCAACTCATCTACTGCAGAAAGAAATGCCAAACTACTGCGGGAAAAATCGAAAGATACATGATCGCCTAAGCGTGTATTACGAATGGTACATAACTGACTGAACAAGGAAAATTACAACAATATTAAATCACTGTCGTTTAGCCAAATGTCAAAATTACATTAGATAGAGTCCTCCATATTTTTATTTCCTTTCATAACGCCTGGAGATTTTTCGAATATTTTAGAATGTTCTCAAATTTAAATTTGAACGCAGAACGTCAATTTTGCTCGACAATATGTTTGTCTAGATACTTTTTTTTTCCTCTTAATACATTTTCTTTTTCTCCCTTTCATGATTTTCTCAAGAAACCCTTTGCAAAAATAAATTTCCCTTTTCTCGTGTGTGTGTGTGTGTGTGTGTGTGTGTGTGTGTGTGTGTGTGTGTGTGTGTGTGTGTGTGTGTGTAAGTATTTCATATGTGTTGTTAAATGTTAAATGTGTCTATACGTGTATACACACCTCGACGTGGTGTAATGGTTAGCAAGTTTGTCTCGCTAGAACAATTGCGTACTGAGTTCGATCCTTATTCAGTGCCCAGACGTTTAGCTTTTCCTGCTAGATCAAAGCTGCGCTTAGTAAATCACGATGCGTCTCCGTATTTATAAAGTTTCGTTTCGTCTGGCACATGATTACGGGTGCGGAACACAGAGTGAATACTGGGAATCACAAGTTTAATAATGAACTACGCGTGTTATTACTTTGCGCTGTGAGATGCCCAAAATCTAGAACTACACGGTGTTCCGAATTTTCAGTCATGGTCAACCGTCTATGTACTAACCATGTTAAGTGCTGCTTACTTTCAATAATCGATCGAGTACCAGAGTGTTTTCATCGAGAGAATTATCACACATACGCACACTTATATGCGTGTTTGTGGAGAAAGAGAGAACTAGTGGTATACAAGAAATGGGAAAAATTCCTCGACAAAATGCAAGTAATTTAGAAAGCGTTAAGTAGTTGCTTTAATAAATCTTTTAAACCACTAAATAAGATACCTCCTCATACACACGAATACACATTCTTCTATGTCATTATAATCGCCCATCAAATAGCCGACGTCTGAATATTTTAGTGTTGCTTCCATAATTAAGGCTCTATCTATCTATCTATCTATCTATCTCGTCCTGTTTATATCTATCTCTATCTCATTCTGTTTTATATATATATATATATATATATATATATATATATTATCCTGTTTATATCTGTCTCGCTATCTCATTCTGTTTCTATCTATCTATCGATGAATTATCTGTTAACATTCATATTCATTCATTTTGTCTCTCTTTCTCTTTCAATTTTTTTAATACTTTTATTTCTTTTTAAATTTTTTTAAATTTTTGCCCCTTGTTTCTTTCTTTCATTTTTCTTTTTTTCTTTCTTTGTTTTCTTTCTTTGTTTTCTTTTCGTTTCCTTTTCTTTGGCCTCTTTTTCCCTTCTGCCACTTTTCCGTCCATCCTTTCTTATTTTCAATATTCTGTAATTTTCTTTCTTTTTCTTTCTTTTCTTTCTTTTTTTCTTTCTTTCTCTTGGTGCCGTTATTTTTACCACCCCCACCCCCACCGATTTTTTTCCTCTATCCTTTCTTTTTCTTTTCTTTCTCTCTTTCCTTTCTCTTTTCTATCAATGATGTTCGTTCTCATTATTCATAACATATCGTTCTTCCCATTTAGTCTCGACGCACTAACAACAACCTAATGACTCTTGCATCTTAATACGACAACCACAAGGAAACGAACTTCCCCATCTCATAACCACTGAACTCAGCCGCAATACAGTCAACCAGAATCCCACTGTTCCTCGGAGCTCCATTTTGCTCCAGCTTTCCTCCCACGACAAAATCAGCAGCACTTCCACAGACTCACGAACACCAGCCTCCCCCAGAACGCAAAGCAGTGGAACCATCCTCCATCCAACCAGATATCAATCCTTCATAAAGCCTCCCAGACAGTCTTACTGCAAGGATCTCCAACGTCAGTGGCTGCAGCAGTTATTCGCCATCTTAAGAATGACGGCCATTTTGTGAAGATACTATGACGTCGACTTAGGAACGGCTCTGAATATGTCATGACTATCTTTAGCTTGTTGTGTCTCACCCACGAAGTACAGCTTTATGGAGACAAAGGGAATAAATGAATGATGAAGGCAAACAATATAGAATTGTATATATTAAATACTTTTCTATGGAAAGGCTTTAGCGTCAATGGATTTATTCAACTTAACTCGAAATGAAAATATAAAAAAAAAATGTAATGCATTTCAACAAGATGTTGTTGCAACACTGTGATACATTTAGTGAATCTCGACTCTCGCATAATCATATGTGCATAATATATATATATATATATATATATATATATATATATATATATATATATATATATATATATATATCGTTTTATTTCTTATTTCGGATTAAGTTAAAAGGCAAACTGAGAACACAATTCAGTGAGACAAATGTCATCATTTTAACCAAACTACGAATAAGGGATGCTCTAAATATGGTGGGAAGATTAGCAAAACAGGAAAACCATACAAATGAATTTTTTTGACGACTCCAACATTTTGAACGCTGGAAATTTTGAGAACAGAAAAGATATGGAATTTTTAAGAAAATATTAAACAATTAAAAAAAAAATTAAGTGCTTTTGTACTGAAGGGAATGGACCTAATCGTGATCAAAGTTAAAGGATTTATTTCATACACAGTTTCTCCTATTTTCCTTTCTCTCTTTCTTTTCTCTCTCTCTCTCTCTCTCTCTCTCTCTCTCTTTATTTATCTATTTATCATTCTTTTTCTTACTCACTCGGAATCTGTCGAAGAATGAAAGAAAGGAGTAGCCGCAGATATTGACTGGAAAATATTCTTGAAATATTTGGAATTTTAAGTGAATAATTCCTATAGATGGCTCGACATAAAGGAAGGCAATATTTTGTTTCATTTTCCATCTTAGCAAAAAAAAAAAAAAAAAAACTTAAAAAACAAAGGTAAGAGACGTTCTTCCATTTTTATTTTCATTTTATTAGAGAAAAATCGCTGTCGATTTCTATTGAAAAATGCTTTTGCGGGAAAATGCTTAAATATTTGTTGCTTCATCAGTTCATTCTAGATAAATTTGTTTGAATCTCTCTTTCCTCTCTCTCTCTTTCTCTCGCTATATATATATATATATATATATATATGTGTGTGTGTGTATGTGTATATAATATAAGTATATAATCTGTTACTTAGTTGATTGATGTTACCTTATATATATATGGTGCGCTTTATTACTGAGTTCATAAAAAAATTATTCAGATTTAATATGTGCGTTTTTTGCATTCTTGGGAAGTATGCGTGCACCAAATTTATTATCCACTGAATCAAGGAATCCTCCCTACCTCTCTCTTCCCTTCTTTCTTTCCCTCTCTCTCTCTCTCTCGCTTTCTCTCGCTCTCTCTCTCACACACACACGCACAAACACGCATACACACACTGAATAAACACACACACATACATTTATGTGTATCTGTGTGTTAAACTGAGAAAGGCAAATTATTTGCTCAGAATGCATTATTCTCATCTCTCGTCTATGAAAATTCTTTCTTTGTCTTGTGGATCCTTCTTCATCGTTTTCACATTTCTCACTTGTCCATTATTATTATTATTATTATTATTATTATTATTATTATTATTATTATTTAAAATGATGTTCTACGCCAACATATCTGGTTTGGGCTTGAGATTAAGCGACAACAAGTCTCCTCAATAAACATGATCTATGCAATTTTACCGATTCCAACTTCACTGCTTGAGTTTCATTTCTGCCCCTAATATGCGGCTCTTTTTTTTTATTTTTGCTACTTAATGGTCCTCGGTGGCGTTACAGGTCCTGCAGTAATCATAGGCACTACAGATTTCACTCATTTTAATCTTCTTCTAAAGTTGTGATACCTTTTCAGTTTATATATGCCTTTCAGTTTCACCTTGGGTACTCGTGGAATTGTGGCTATTTGATTTCTTTTTGACACTTTATTTACAATATCTTACTTTTTCTGCTTTATTATTGATAGAAAATAATTTTTAATATTTTTTTCCGATATAGACACAATTATTACGCAGTTTCATTTTAAGTGATTTCTTGCAATTTCCTCTTTAGCTCGAAACGTACGCACGTCAAGTCAAAAATAATTTATACCGCCTTCTTACCTGAAATATGTTGTGGGGAGATCCGTTCGTTGGAAGAGCTGAACACAAAACGAAACCAATTTTGTGGAGCAAAGACAGAAATAATTTACTTTTAATAAAGTCGGATTCAGGCTGAAAGTGTATACTATCATAAAATAGATAGATTTGAATAGACAGAGATTTATAGACCTGAACATTAAGAGATAGATAGATCTGAACAGTGTGAATTATATAGGTAGATCTTAACATAAAGAGATAAACAGCTAAATATGCACATACTGAGATAAATAGATATGAACATAGTGAGATAGATAGATATGAACACACCGAGATAGATATATAGACAGATGTGAACATACTGAAAGAGAGAATGTGAACTAAACAGGGTTTGAAAAATAGGTAGACAGACAGATCTGAACAGACATATAGACATAACTGAACAAAATTAGATCTGGAAAGACTTAGATAGATAGATAGATAGATAGATAGATAGATAGATAGATAGATAGAAAAAACAAGGAAAGATAGATAGATAGATAGATAGATAGATAGATAGATAGATAGATAGATAGATAGAAAGAAACAAGGAAAATTCGTAGAGATAGATAGATAGATAGATAGATAGATAGATAGATAGATAGAAACAAGGAAAATTCGCAGAGATAGATAGATAGATAGATAGATAGATAGATAGATAGATAGATAGATAGATAGATAGTAACAAGGAAAATTCGCAGAGATAGATAGATAGATAGATAGATAGATAGATAGATCTGAACAGACTCGGATATTTGCAACTGTCGAACGCAAAACTCTTGATGACGGAAGTCTTTTTTTGTAAAATATATGCTACATCCCTGGGCACGGCTCTTCACAGATTCCTTTTCTTTAGTAATCGTGAACTGCCATGCAAGCTTGCTAAAGACAATGAAGCGGTTTCTCGTTGCCTTCTTCACGGTTGGGAAATCAGTTTTCTTTCTCTTAGATTGGTTGCCATGTAAGGTTAGAGCGTCCGGTTTATTCTGCTGTTTAACCCATTGCTTGGAGAAAAAGAGATTGGCGTTTGTACAAATTCAGACGTATTCTTCGGATTTTTATGCTGGCTTGCTTGACACATTTCGGTACCTTTACATCCTATAATAAATCTTATTAAATTTATAAAGCGTACGGCCACATCGCGTTGAAACACTGGTTCCCGTGGTGTCACCAATGTTAAACAACTGTTCCTAGTTGGGCGACCGCTTTGGGATACCAGTTGCTGTAAGCTTGTAATAGATAATAATTCTTGCAATTCCAGTTGGATTTTTTCTATTCACTTACCCGCTCATACCCTTGGGAATGGTATACATCGACCGCTTCTCGTCACCAGTTAATTAGTAAAATTTGTATCACTAAAACCATTATTATCTTAATAAGAAAATCTTAAAATCTAAAAAATATTTTTGGTTTTAAATAAACTGCAAATCACGCTAATTACAAGCACGTGATAACCAAACAACGTAAACCCTATATCCGTAATTAAAGGGTTAATTTAATAAAATTATTTTTATTATAGTTATCTACATGGCTCTTTTTTTATTTTTTATTTTTTTTTATTTTTTTTTTCGCTGACTCCAATCCGGAGTTAAAATTTTCTTTATATAACTTTTGTTTAATTTTTGTATCCGACCTAACAAAGCAATTCCTAATGCCATTTCTTCCACGATACCTTTCCTTCATCTTCCAGTCCAAGTGTCTTCCTTCTTCCACTTGTGACGAATTAAGCTAGCTTCCTGTAAATAACGAGCCTTGTGCATAAAAAGAAAGGGAGAGAGGGAAAAAAAAAAAGATTTGTCTCCTGTTTCAGTTCATGTGCACCGTCCAGCCGGGAATAGTCGCGTAATTATTATAACACCTGACAGCGCCAGTTAATTGGGGGGGGAGGGGGTCAATGGAATTGATTCTCCCTTAAGCCGATTTTATATTATCTATGATGTCATGACGACTTAACATGTTCTTATTGGCATACAACGCGCTGTGCCAGCACTTCAAGCTCGCTTTATCAATCATTTTATTATTATTATTATTTTTATTATTATTAATATTATTATTATTTTCCTTGTTAATGATAATAATAATTTCTATTACTACTAATAAATATTAGGACTACTACGACTACTACTACTACTAATAATAATACAGCGTAAAACAATATCGAGTAAACAATTTAACACACACCCAAACACACACACACATATATATATATATATAAATTAAACTTAAAATCATTTTCAAGCAGTGTAGCTCTTATAAGTCTTAGAGTTAGGCTTTTGGTTTCGAAAGATGGTAATTTCTTTATCGCTATGAAGACATATTTTTTAAAATAATTATAATATTATACTCTACTGCGTATCGAGCATTGTTTTTTAAAATATTTACTTTTAAAAATAAATGTAAATGAACTCTGGATTATAAATGTGACTGCTGTATCTTTATATATATATATATATATATATATATATATATATATATATATATATATATATATATATATATATATATATATATATATATATATATATATATATGTATATATATATATATATATATATATATATATATATATATATATATATATATATATATATATATATATATATATATATATATATATATATATATATATAAGAGAGAGAGACAGGGAGACAGGAGACAGAAACAGAGAGACACGATACAAAGTGAAAAATTTTATTAAAGACGTGTTTCGCCGGGGAAACGTATGTTATCTTTGGCTTCTTCAGTTTAAATGAAAGAATGTCAAACAATATATAGATATATAGAGATATATATAGAGAGATATAGGTATTTAGATACTTTAAAAAACAGGAAATCAATTGTATCAGCTATCTTGGTTTCAACCTTACGGTAGTCTCTGGCGGTTTTTATCAAATGACCTCTTAACGCTTTATTTATATTTTTTTAAATCATGAACGCCATATTATCATTTAAAATACTTTTATTCTATATTTTTTTACCACTGTTTCCTAGTCTAATTCAACACTGACCATTAACCATTCATTATATATATATATATATATATATATATATATATATATATATATATATATATATCAATTTTGTACGATTTCGAAGTTTCTTGATAAAACTTCCAGTCTTCAGGGGTTCTGGTTTTATATATATATAATTTTTAGATTTAATTTTGAAAATGATAGAAGTAAAAAAAACCAGTAAATACTCCAAATAAAACTCCTGTTACATTTCAAGATCTTTTTTTCCAATATATATATATATATATATATATATATATATTTTATATATATATATATTTATATATATATATATATATATATATATATATATATATATATATATATATATCCATTTTCCAATGTTATAAAATAAACATTGTTAATGGCATATATTTTCCAAAGTAGTTCCTTTTGTTTCTGAAACCATGCCTTCTTGGGAAAGATAGTGTTGCGTTTTCTCTTTGCGTTCTTTAAGCAGAGTGTTTCTTCCCATAGAATTTCTGCTGCAAATGGCAATCAAGCGCAGTCCGATTTTGCCCACAGCAGGAAAAAAACTTTTTTTTAATTTTATACCACATCTGGCAGTGAGCAGAAAAGACAGTCGCATCCCTTCTTTGCTTAGAAAACAAAG